ACTCTCTTTTCTTCTCCTCTGCTCCCCTCCCCTCCCTACCACATCCAGACTGAGAGGAGGAAGCAGAAGAAGGTGAAGGTACACTATTCATCTCAGGGAAACGAGGATGGCAATGGGATAATTTTAGGTGATTGTTTTCGTACCTTTCTTTCTTCCTTTCCTTTTCATCAACATGAGAAAGGCCTGGGGTTAAGCTTGTTGATTAGAATTACAACATATAAAACTGTATCCTCTGCTCCCACCCAATTCAGGAAATCTGAGAACAGAATTCAGGTGTTTCTAGAAGGGCATTGGGGTAGGGGTAGGGGGATCAGAGAGGGAATGTACTTGATAATGGCAAGAGGGATGCAGAGACCCAAATCCAGGTGTGGTGTGACTCTAAAACCTGTGCTCTACACTTCTCTAGGGCCCAGACCAGAAACTTAAAAGTCTTCCTTGATTTTCACTTTTCATCCCATTTCTTACCAATTCCTTAATAAATCTAATCAGGCCAACTTCCACAAGAGGTCCCAGATCTGTCCATTTTCCTCCATCCCCCCTGCCACTCATTACTCTATCCAGTCAGCTGTCATCCTTCTCCAAGACCAGAATAGCCTCCTTCTTCATCTCTCTGCCCCCATATTTGCCCCCTACGATCCTTCCTCATGACAGCCAATGTGATATTTTAAAGACACAGATCAAAGAGCAGCAGCCTCCTCCACAAAGCCCATTCATAGCTCCCCGTTCCTCTCAGGAGGAACCTCTACCACTTCTGAAGTCTGCAAAGCCCAATGGCCTGACCTCTGCCCCTCCCTGCACCTCATTTCCTAATGTCAGGGTTTCCCAGGCTCATTGCCATCAAGTGGGTACCAGCTCCTCCTGCCTACAAAGCCTGCCCGGCTCCTCACACTGATTGTTCCTTTCCGTTATATTAGCCATTTTTCCGTGTGTTTTTCAGAGAGACCTTCTCTCCCCATCAGCTCTAGCTAAGGTTTATACCACCCTCATCCTCATTATCCTCTGTTACTTCGCTCTGTTTCTTCTCTTCGCAGAACCTAAAGTTACTTACAATTGTGTGCTTGCTTACTTGTTTCTAATCACTTCTCCCTAATAGAGGGTAATCTCTGAGAGGGCAGTAACCCTCTCGGTTTGTTCTCAGCAAGTACTCAGAGCTCAGTACCATGCCAAGCATCTAGAAGGGATTCAGTACACACTGTGTTCCAGTCCCTGCTCCGCTGCTCACTAGCTACATACTTGGCAGGGCACATAACCTCCCTGAGCACCCGATGGCTGGTCTGTACAACAAGAACAATAATTCCTACATCTGCGCGTTGTTGTGGAGTTTGAATGAGATGATAATGTATGCAAAACACCTTGAAAACTGCGGAGAACATTCTAGCCATGTGATGAATTATTTATGCCCTGGCTTGGGTCAAAAAGGAAGCATCATCATGCCAACCCTGGTTCTGACAACTGCCAGGTGCTTTCAAGGCTTCTCGATGAAGTGTAGGCTTCAGACAAATGGGAAATCTAATAGACTGCTCTCTGCAGTTGGCCGCATTTCCAGCCAGCATAGATATGATTATAATTAGAGTTTCAAGAGTTCTGTTTCATTTCAAAAGGATTCCACGTTACAGTCTGCAGTCTACCTGAGATGTGTGTCTAGAAGCAGATTTGTCTGGCAGGTGTTTTCATTCTGGCCCATTCGCTGCTTTTCCTACAACATCAGGAATGTCTGTTTCTGTTACACTCATTATTTTCACTTGCCAGGTGAGAAGAGCTTTTCTATATGGGAGGTTTCAGATGGTGACCACTGAGCAAACTATGTAGTTCTCACCCACGCTCATCACTTCCAGAATGAACAGTAGCTCGGACAAACTTGCTTCAGCAGACCCAGGACTTTTCTTAACAGCCAGAGAATAGTCTGTAATGGAAGGAATCACTCTACCCATGCATTTCTCCAAGGAAAAACATTTTTTTTAGCCTGTCAAGACAGTGAGCTCTCTTATTGGAAACCATAGCAAAGTCAATTTCTCCATCCTTGCTGCTGAAGAATTCAGGACACACCTCACTGCAGACCCTAAATTAACAATCCAGGGGGAGCTGAGCTCACTGGAAATGGGCAGGGATGTCTAGGAGAGCAGGATTAAAATTAAAACTGAGCCCAAAATGGGCGTTTTCATATTTCAAGCCCCATTACCTGCCTTTTTGCAGCAGTTTTTGATCATAACTCTTCACTAGGCAGAGTAGCGCCGTGGCGGGAGCCACCCAATCTTCAGAGACCACTGACTTTTTTTTCTCGGTTCCTTTTTATTTATCTAATGATTTCTAACTTTAGCCAGCAGTGCTAAGGAACCACAAATGTCATAAGAGTCCTTGATGGGATTCCTCTGAGTGAAGGAAAAGCCCATATCTGTAAGTACCCATAAGCAGATTGGTTTCAAGCAGCACAATTCTCTTTACATCCATCCTTCCACACCAAAGACAAAAACAAATATATACCTATGTTTCAATCCATTCTGGGTGCCAAATGCTGAAGTTTATTGGTAACACTCCATCTGAAGTGATTGCTATGCAAGATCTCAACCCAGTCTCTACCATGTTCTTTAATCCTGAGCCACACATTGTGACCATTTGCTTTAGAATCTGCTGGTTGATTTAAGAGAGGGCACTGGTTGTTTCACATCAGAATGAGAAGTGGAGCCATGTCCTGTGATGCGATGGAGAAAAGAGTAAGCAATGTCATCAATGAGATGACCGAGCCACAGCACAAATTCCTTAGCCCTTTTCTATAGAGGTCCCCAGTGATGACAACTGAAGGGTCCCTCGGGTGGCTCTCCACAGTCAGCTTGCTTCAAGTCAGCCAACATCTCTTACCTCCTTCTTCCAAACCAGGCCCTTGCATCAGGCACTCACAGTTAAAGATAGTAACACCCCATTCCTGCCGTTAAGGAACTTATATTCTCTAAACTCTTAAAAACGGGTTCCAGAAGGGTACGAAACTTGTTAGGTTACACCATTTTAAGTGACTGATCCAATATTTCAATCTGGCTTAAAAATAAAAACAAAACAAGGTTTATTTTTCATTTCAAAGCTTCTCCCTTTTCAACTATACCATACTGCATCTTTTTATCAATTATACAATATAATTATAATTGTTTTCCAGTTGCAGTTATTCAAATGTGTTTAGCTCCACCTAACACAGCAGGTAATCAGCAGAGACATAAATCAAGGTGTAAAAATGTATTATAAATGTTGAAATACTCACATATATTAACTATATTCTGTATATTTAAAATAAAAGTAAAATTGGTTTATCTCTGGGTGATTTAAGTGATGTTTATCTTTTTTATGCTGGTGTGTGTATTTAAATTTTTCTAAAATGAGATTTCATCGCATCTAGAAAAGTTATTTTTAAAATAAAAAATATATATGAAAGTGCTTTTTAGACCATAAAATGCTAATAAGTATCAGCTAGGGAATTAATTGCAATGTAATAAAACCCTCAATGGATGGATTAAGCTAAAAGCACATCTAATTAACCCTGATAGTTGATGTTGATAAATGCCCCAGAGGTGGGTGCTCTCAGAGCAGTAAGACCGTGGTTATCAAGATGGAACTGTCTCACGTTTGGTGAGCCCAGCTTTGCCCAGCTTTCCCTAAGGGTTACAGAACTGAGGCTAAAGCCTGGTCAGGTGTTGCAGTATCTAGAAAGGTGGACGTCTCTCTGTCTTTGTTGACAATCTCTCATTTTACAGAAGGTTTAATTTCTTTCTTTCTAGAAATGCCCAATTGTGCTATTCACATCTGTTATCCACTCCTTTCCCTCGAAGAGTCTTGGTGGGAGTTTGGTTTTAATGACACTGCTTGTCAACTTGGGTCCCCAGCTCCTTGAGCAGATGGATAATAGTGAGCTTACTACTGGGCCAGACAGCCTGGAACTTCTTCATTTTGGATGTAAGCCTTCTTTTGCCTGCTTGGAGACCAACCTCTGCTAATAAGTGCCTCGCCTGCTATCTCAATGAAACCTAACCTTTTCCTCTCAGACTTACTGATCTTTGACCAACCAACCTCTTGTGTGCAGAAGAAAGAGCCCCCTCCATTTGACAAAGGAGGTTTGGGCTTCTCCAGCAGTTTCAGAGATCAAGGTGTTAGCCTGGTTGTTCTGTGCCTTCACCCTTACCATACATCAAGGTAGTATAAGGGATATATTCCTAATTTAATCCAAAGTTCCTTCTAGACACTTATTATATTGGTACATGCTTTTGAGCAGAGTGCTTTATAGCTGGGAGGTCAAATAATATTTTCCAGTAGTGTTATCATTTCAAAGGCACCTTCAGTTGCACTGTTACCTCATTTAATCATCACAGCAGTCTTATGGGAAAGTTATTACCTACTTTGCATTGAGGAAACCAAGGCTTAGGAAGGATGGATAGTGAGTCTAAGATTCAAGGGCAGAACTTAATGCCAGGTCTTCTGACTCCAAATGTTGAGCAATTTTTGCTGGTTTTCTACAATTAAAGATCTGACTCTAGGTCACAGGCTGAGAATATGTAGGATGGGAATGACCCTATTCACAGTGAAGCCGTCCACCGCAGAAGGGAAGGAGCAGGGTCAGGGAAGAAGCCAGTGTCTGCTGAGCTTCTCCTTGATGCTGGCTGTCTTCCTCGCAACATCTCCTTTAAATGTCACCTCTTTCTCCCACATGATCGAAAAGAAATGGAAATAAAGTGAGATTCAGTTACTTCCCTGAAGTCACACAGCTTACAAGTGACAAACTAAACTGACAACCAGTCTTTCTGACCCCCAAACCCACGATCTTCTTATCACATTTCACATCTCATTACAACGCAGCACATTCACGCACATGTAGATTATAAAAGGCATGGCAAAGAAAAGTCCTCTGTTTTGGAAAGGCTGGTGTTCTTAAGGACACACACATACTTCCCCTTTCTTTTCCCTGACCCTCCAGCACAGCTTCCTGTGTGACACTACTGACATGCTCTTCTGCCCCCTTGCAGGGTGTGTGCTGGTGGTATCTGTGATTGAACAGCTTGCTCAAGTTCACAACTCAACGGTCCAGACCTCGATGGAGAGACTGTGCAGCTACATGCCTGGTAAATACAGAAAGGGTAACACGGCTTTGGGTCTGCTTTGTCTTACTCATGCACCATCATTGAGTGAGTTTCTACCCTATATGTGCTTATGGAGGAGAATCTGATTGTGTTATTTCTGTGAGTTGATATTCTTATGGGGCTCATAGAAATTAAACGAAACACATACACACAAAAAAAACTCTAGGCAGTTTTTCCCCTTGACATTCATTTTCTGTCATGGCAGATTGAGACTGCTGTGGACATTTAGGGAATAAAACGTAGAATGGCCAATTTTCATTTTTATGTGTCACATTTATAATAATTTGCCCACCTGGTGATCATTGCTGTAAGTGCCATGAAGGTCAAAATAATGAATAATGAATAATTTCCAATGATTTATGTCCGTTTAACCACATACACATTTTCAGACGCATGCGCAGCCCTACGAACTCAGAGCTTTATTTAGGCTGAGAAGACAAGGGATCTTAAAACTCCAAACAGGAAAATCATCTGGGAACATTCCATTATCTGAACTGGATCTCAATAAAATCCCTTACAAATCCTGCAAAAGAAGGAAGTGATTAGTAATTTGAACAAATTGTATAGTTTTTCATTCTCGGCAGAAAGAAAATGTTGATTCTGTTTCCCTTATAGAGTACTGTTAGGTGTGCAGGCAATATGAATAAACTTCTTTCAGAGTCAAATTTTCATTCACTTGATGTTAAGGAACTAATTCATCAAAGATACCTACGTTATTTTTTCTAAGTAAAGTAGCTGGACTCGTGGCAATTGTGTCTTTAATTTAATAGACAATGTCAATGACAGCAAAACATTTTCAGACAATTTATTGCAATTAGTCACAATGTGCACTCAAAAGCTCATTTTTAAGAATTCAAAATTAAAGACTAGGAGAGGATAATACACAAATACATGTGTTTACAATGTTCCAGTTTGATCATTGCTAAGATTTTGACATATTTACATCATCTTTCTTTTGTGGAATTAAAATGTGACAGATAAACTTGAAACGCCCTTTGGCCTTCCCCACCCCCAGTTCCACTTTCCTCCCACCTCCCTAGAGAGAACCGCTCATATGAACTTGATGGGTATTGGTTTTGTCAGATTTTATACCTTTACATTCACTTGTGTGAATCCATAGACAATGTACAGTATTGTCTGTGGGTAATTTTTTAACCTTTTCTTGGTAGAAGGAAACAAATGTAGAAAACCACACAAAATAAACATAAAGCTTTATCAGTTATTACAAGGTGAACATCCTTATAAACAGAGTCCCAGTCAAGAAGGAATAGATAGGTATCTCCTCCAAAAGTCCCATCCACATGCCCCATCTCATCATAAACCCCTCCTTTCCCCTAAAAAACCAACATCCTGGGTGTTACTATGATCATTTCCTTGTATTGCTTTATAGTTTTATCACCTGACTGGGTATCTCCAGACACCATATTGTCACCCAGTTTTTAAATCTTTGATTATCTTTTAAGTCTACTTTAATCTACAAGTTTCCTTTCCATCCCTTCTTTTTTCCTTGTAATTTAGCTGTGGAATCTGCCTTGTAAAGTTCCTGCATTTTTCTGATTGCATCCCTGTGGGATAATTGAATATGTTTCTCAGTGCTCTGTATTTCCTGAAAATTGGCAGCTAGGTCCAGAGGCTTGATCAGACTCCAGTTCGATTTCTTTGGCTAGGCTGTAGGTGATGGTGCTTTCTTTCATCAGGAGGACATCTTAAGTGGTTTTCTCTTTTTCATTTTTGCGATATTGGCAGCTGTTGATGCTCCATGACCAGGTTAGTTCATTGGGGGTTGCAAAACAGTGTCATTCGAATCCATCGTTTCATTTAGTGGTTGAAATATATTAGAAACAGTTTCCCTCTTTATCATCATAGTGTAGA